TAGGTAATTGAGAAAATTCTGCTTTTATGATTTCAGGTGTCGGCATTATCACCAATCAGGCAGTTAAAGGCCTTTACAATCCAGCCCGTAATAAATTAACATCTATTGGAATTGCATTTATGGACCATACTGTCAACGTTGTGCTACATTATTAAAAAAAGTTAAGACTTGGTCTATTTTGAAAATAGATTGTTTTCTTCTGGAACATTGTAATATATTCTTTAAATTTTCCGTTGACAACTTAAGTAGAGGCAAAGAAGCGCCACGGGTACATATATATTTTTTACAATGTCTCAACAAAATATTTAAAAATCGTGGAACAAACATTCACTTGTCATTGTCCATTGAAACGAACTATAAGCGGCGACGAAATAACCAGCCTGCCTATCGATGTGTAGGGATCAAAACATCTTGTGGGCCTAACCGTGAAAATTAAACTCGAATTATTTGACATTTTATATGTTTAGCTTAGCATGTGAGTGAATCCACTGTAGGAAGTATTCTTCGTTCACATATTTGTTGAGGAAAAACAAGTCCTGCCCATCGAAACACCTACCGTAGCAGTGAAAACGACAGCTAATGTTTATTTGCAATTTTAAAGCACTGAAGGAATCCCCACACCGTTTCACTTTAAATCTGTGTCAAAGCTCGACCACAGATGTATTCGAATTGGTTATTTGCTCTGCAGCTCTACTCCTGAATGTCTGCAGGGCATATGTTTCGGCAATAAATTATAAAATATTTTTTCATTGCTTCAGGCTTCGGGCGTCGTTTGGGGCAGACTTCGCAATCCGCTTATCGGCAATAGGATGAAGGTGCGTCTAAGTAATAGGATTTTAATGTTATATTTGTTCTGTTGTTGATGTCGCCCCAAAGTTTCTGACGTTTCTTTTTTTGTTTTGGTTTGGTAAAAAAGGTACAGGAAAACAAAGAACAAAAACAACGAAGGATCATAACACATTTAATATCATCATATTTCATATTATTCCTGAATTGCGGATTCAACGAACCATTAACCAGCATCTAGCGTATTTAGGACTGGACAACAAGTTTCAAAGCTGTCCCTCAACTTCGATATGCCCGCAGGCAAGGCCTCACACCCACTCGGAAAGGATTTCAATGAAATTTGAGGGAACATTCAAGTCTGTGTTGCCTTCGCAGCGTCGTCGTCTGTCAGCGTGTGTATGCGTACATACCTCAGAGTAAATAAAGACAAAGTAAATAAAGACACGAGGTCATAACATAAATTCCAGTCCACGAAATTGAAGTCGTTGGTGAGCAATTACAACTTCACTAAACAACCAGGGAGTGAGAGAGATAACAATTTCACTTAAAGCCAACGACTAACTCCTCTGAATTCGTTACACTGGCCAATTCGTACACACGAGTTTATCGACAAATTTCAAATTGTGTCGTCTTTCGATATCTGAACAAGGCAGCGGAGGGGCAACTGAAGTCAATCTAAATATTATCTAATTAATAGAAGGCATTTGCTACGCGATATATGCAATTCTTCTTAAATCTTTAGATGGGCAAGCGCCCATTCAGCAGCCGCCGCGTCCGAGGAGAGCAGGCCATATCCCGTGATTGTCGGTGATTATGAGAGTATTTCTGTTGGAAAATATTTATGTTTCCGAGTGTGTGATGGCATCGAGCAGATAACATTGCAAATGTTTGTGGCTTTAGCTTATTACGGCTATTGTTTTGGCTTACTTATCCAGAATGTTTCTTCTGTGGCATGAGTGCGTGTGTGTTGTGGTTGAAAGTAAATACGGCAAGATTGTGGCCATAATTGCCACAGAAGGAAAGTCATTTTGTTTATGTGAGCCGTATGAGAACAATAGCAATAAGAAAAATACAAATATATATATATATATATATATATACAGAGACTAAAAGACAACAGTAATAATATTAAACATGGACAAAAGACAGAATTGAACGTCGTCTCCCCCACACCATCGCTCAGAATGCCCTGAAAAGATTTGCGACAGCCCTTTCAAGCTGGAACACTCAGCAAATAAGTGAGGACTTTGATGTTGGCAAGTTGAAGTTGTGAAGTGAAGCAAACAAAACGAAACATTTGAAACTGATAAACATCCGGGTCGAACGCGCAAAAGTTCATCCCCAACTTTTGTTCAACTTGGAACAAAAGTGTTAGCTTCAATGATTTATTTGCTGCATATACAACATTCGAAATAAATAAAGTCGAAGAAGTGTGAGTTAGTATGATGTGAAAGCCGGCAATAACAAAACGTAGTCCTGCAAAAGAAAAATATAAATTTAATTTTTGAACGACATTTTAGAATCACATTAACATCGAATATCGGTAAGTCCGTCTTTCTATGAATTCATGGTATGTGTCAATATACACAAAAGAGCATATACTTATCATTTGAGCTTTGAATTAAAATTATACTATTTGCATAGTTCAGCTGGTTGCAAAAAAAGCCTGCAAACATCTAAACATTGACAACAATATCTAAAAAATATATATGGAAGCTGAGGGATTTCGGGTTTTCCCAGACATTTTATACTATGATGCGTTTATTGTTTTTCAGTTGAATTAAAACCGTTGAAATAAAAATAAAATTAAATAAAAATATTTTAATAAAATGAGAAAATTGTTAACGAGCTGAAAATTATTTATGAACAGCGAGTTGTTCTGACGTGCCACAAGTGTAGACAAAATATTAACTCGGTACACATGTTTTCAAAAATCGTTGTGCAGTTATCAGTGTCAATATTTTGATCAATAAAATATAGTTTTATTTATTCTGCAGTTTCCACAAATTCTTAATCCCGGACATTTGTTGTCTCGCTTATGAGGACATTTGTTGACTCGCTTATGTTGACTCGCTGATATGACCAACAAACTCTTATTTAACCCGTTTCAATACATGAACGTACATACAACTCCATATAATGGCAATCGCCATATTCTTATGCGGTCACACAACTATTCTCTTTGTTGGTCAAGTGGATGGCTTATAAAATGTCTTTGATCTGACTGACCGCAAAATATGGCCCTAAGCTTCAAACCAACTATTTTGTTGTTTTTGATTTGGAAATCAACAACTTTACCAATCGGACTTCATATAGCCCAGAACGAAATAAAAAGGGCAACATTCCTGAAATATGAGTTAACTTTGCCATTATGTAAAATTCGCCCCGAGCTCTAGTCGGACAGTGAGTGAGTTGGCGTGGGGTAAACTTTTATCAAAAGCCAAATTGCTGAAATATTAAAACAGTCTTTGAATAAAATTAAACTTTGTTCCGCAGGCAGACCCATCGCAATGGTTGTTGTTCTTGTTGTTGTCGTCGAGGTTTTATGTGTCGTCCGTTGTTGAGGTGTTAACTCCTTCCCAGAGCTTTACATGTTTAAATGTCTTTAAAGCTGTGGCTGTCATTTAGGTCTTTGTGTTCTCAGGCAAACATTGCAACACCTTAAAGTGCTCGGGTTTCGTTTTTGCTGCCATCACTGCCGACCAGCGTTCTATGTTCCTCTATTGTTTTTTACTGTTTTTTCCTTTCTTCTTTTTTGTGTGGCCCAATGTGGGCCAGCTTGCCTGTAATTTCAGTCGTCTGCTGATGTACGACTAACAAAAGAAGGAAGCTAAACATTTGTTGTGGCACCACTTTGTGTCGACATGTTAACTTCTGTGCAATTGTTGATTCCTTGTACAGCTGTATTGTTAGTATAGCTGTTGCTACTTCGTTTGTCGTTTTGTTAAATTATCTGCAATAAAAGCAATGACCACAAATTATAGTCATTATTGTCGTTGACAACTCCATTCGCACAGCTTGTATAGGCTGACACACTCGCACACAAACGCATGTCCACGTTCCCCTGTGTATACTGTATTAAAGCTTTTTTCCACATTTATTTGTATCGTCTGTAATAAGGAGAAAAATATCTCTATTGACGTCTGCTCGCCATAAATGATGGTGTCATCGATTTTCCTATTGCCCAGACAAAAACAGCAACGACGACAATACTGTGGCTGACTGGGGTACACATCTGGGCGTATGAATGCTACAGTATTGCTTTCCAAGTCAAATAAATCATACGTTCGGGAAACATGCTCTGCAATCACTTCTAGTTGGTTATGGGCAAAATATGTATTAAAGAGTGAGTGTGTGGGTGAGTGTTGTCTGTGCCGCTTATGCAATTTGTCGGCTATTCTTTCTTTGTGACCTTCAATTATAGAATACGAAACGGAGAAATGTAGAATATCTGGAATAAAAATAATCCTCATGAAGCAATGGGAGAATTTAATTAACAAATATTTAATGTAGTCATAATAATGAGTATGTATTGAATTACTGAGTCCAGGAGAAATCATACTCGACTTCCGTTTGGCCTCAACACATTGGCTGAATTGTCTATATCGGCCAAAGTTCACGTGCAGTACTTATGATAGTCGTATGCGGTATTGATGGCAGTACCGTAGTTCTCTACTCGCTATTATGGATGGAAGGCGCACATTGGACCTATTATCTTGTCCATAGTTTGTCACTCAACTCTAAATGGCATGTTGGTGTCTTCGTTTTTGTAACCAGCTATTGCTTTTCATATGCCAACATATGGATTGGCTTGTGATTGATTTGGGTTGATTTACATGAATGTAAATTAAACGTTAGAATCCAATATTTTCTGATTGATTTATTTTTTCGGTTCGTTTTTTGTTTCTATTTGCAGTCATCGCGCTTGTTTAATTAACTTGGAAGCCAACAAACAGACACCAGTATCAAAGGATTTGTACAGCAGGACACAAAGAGTAGGAAAAACGAGAGTGGAAACTGTCGTCGCTAGTTTGTCATGGTGGCCGCTTAAGTTGGTTGTAGTAACATGGGTATCCACACGTACACACTTCCACTTCCCATGTGCGTTTGTGTAAAGTTGTGACTTACTGAGGCATACGAGTCATGTTGAAGTGTTGCGTCAATCATTCGTCCCTGGATTCCGACCTCTTTGGCAGCGATACTCCACAAAAATGAAAACAAAGCATACGAGCTGTGTAACTGCTGCGGCCGTTGCTGCTGGTGCCGGTGAAAAAATGAAATCCGTGATTTTGTATCCCTACGGGCCGTTGACAGCCACCGGATGCTGTCGTATGTTGCATGCCAAAAATTTGGCCATAGCAAGCGCCATTTACACAATCGTAAGTATACAATTTTTTGTGTGCGTTGTCCGGTAGTAACTTGATCAGAGTACACTTGGCTCGCCATAAGCGACAACGAACTGTGCATAAGAACCAAATATCAGAGCAAACCCATTGCAACATTCATTGTCGTGTTGAAAGCACGAAAGATATAGAACAAATATAAGTGTTGTTCACAGCATATTTGTTCGTGATCACTCAGGGCACCAATTCAATTCCTTTGCAATCATCTTGCTTTTGGATAAAAAAATGCAATTTTCCCGAAACACCCCACCCATCCGGGAAATATCTCCCCCATCAGCCTGTCTGCCACCAGCCAGTCGTGAAAACGGACCTGCTCATCGTTGTGCATACTTGCACATTTTCGCAATAGATGACTGACTGTCTTTCTTGTAAATTCACTCATAATTTATGTTGATTACGAGAACGTGCCTAGAATTTGCTAGTGGCGCTGGAAATGTGTTGGCAAATTCTAATAAACAACATCTTTATAACTTCATTAATGTGTTTTATTGGTGAGTGGTAAATTGCTCTCTGTATGCAGCCCGCCACCCTCCAAGGCCAGGCAAGGTGCGGCACCAACAGCAATTAGTGGCAACTCAAGCATCATACAATGCCTATTTGGCCGTGCTTGGTTTTGTCGAATGCATAATGGCACATAATGTGTGTCAGAGCCTCTGTCTCCAACCCCACTTTACTGGCGTCATGGCTCATTGTATGGGGCGTTGGACGCGTTAGACTATTATGGCGCCCAAACATAATGTCGAATACATGATGTTAGGTTCGTTCTAATCCACATGCATGCCAGCAAGGAGGTCTGTCTCCCAACCCGACTCTCATCACCAACTAAATAATTTGTTGTCATCCATTGTTTTTATGTTTCAAAATTATCCGATAATGGCTTTAAAATGTTCATTGGGAATGTTTAATGAGTAAGCGTGATGGTGTGGCATTATATTACCGTTGGTCCAACGTAAGGACTTACTGTTCACCATGCCACTGACAACAAGAATCGGTACAACATCATCCATTCCCTGTAGTTTAATCATTTAAATATTATTAAAATAGATTGTTATTTAAGTTGACTTAAGCGTTGATTGATCGATAGATGCAGACATTCGTTTCCACATTTTCCGAGCAACTCCCGCAAGCAACTTGTGTGGGTTCGCTTTAAAATTTTGAATTTAAATTTACAAATTCAAAAGTCAGATGTCTGCATAAACACGATATAATGTGAGTGCCTGCGTGTGTGTGTGTGAGAATACTATAATCAGGCCAATTGAATGGATGATGTCACTCTTGAAATACGTGCCACTTGAATAACAAAAACAAGCATTGCTACTCAAGGAAATCGTGGCAGGAGTGAGCAAGTGGCAGCAGTCAGAATTTATGAAATACAAAAGTGAAACAAAACGTCGCTGAGACTATAAAAACACACATCTTCATTAAATATAAAAGACGATGAAAAAATGACCATCATCATTGATACGTGGCTTAATCGTTAAATATAAATATATTAGAGTTACTTTTCGCGAAATATTAAAATATAGGAGTCTACATACTTTTTTTATTATATTTAGGACATATGTCCACATAAAACTTAATTTAAAGCATTTAAATGCGATAAATCAAATGGTATCAAAATCACACAAGCCTGTATTGGGGGTTGAAAATCACAGCAACGACAAAACAGGATATTGAGAAAATATTTGTTGTTTTTGTTCGAAGAAATATTTGTTTTCTTTTCGATCCATCAAGAACCATGTAATCACAATTAAATTCGAGACTTTGGCAGGCGCGTATCCCCCGTTCTTGTAGGTGGATTTTCAGTCACAAATCAAGGGAAACCCTACAAAACTTGTTGGCCTCAACCTGTTTTCATCCATTTTTTTATATTAAAATAGACACAGCTTCATCCTTTCTATTGCTTAGTATAGTCTTTCTATTTCACGACATCAGCTATAGACTTTTCATTTAAATTACAAGCTTGTATATCCAAATGCTTTGTGTTTAATGTATAGTGTAACTTCGGATAATGTGGACCACCATTTTCTTTTTTTTTTGATATTGTGGGCGTACCAACGGTAAAAATTAAAACAAATTGTTTTCACGACATAGTAGATTTGTCGTCTAAATATATTTCAGGTCAAACATTATATATATTTGACTATAAAAATTTTATTGCACTATATTATAACTCATAACTGCAAATAAAAACAACTTGGCGGGTAATGTGGACCAGTATGTGGACCAATAAGCTAAAAGGTGGGTTGTGGATTGGTTGGGATAAATTTCAATGTATTGCAATCTTGTGTAACAAATAATGCAAAAATATATGGGTATGAACCCCGTATATTTTTTGGAATAGTCCTAGCTTCAATATCCAACCGAAGCAGCTGTAATTTCGCAATATCGAGTTTTCAGAGTTTTCCTCATAGAAATGTTTTTAATATGGGGCCTTGTTCGGAACTTGTCCCCATGAAAATGTCTCGTTTTTTATAGTGATCCACAATACCCGATTTTGCATTTTTTTATTTAAAAATATTTTTTGGCTTAAAAAATAAATAAAAATTAAAACTAACCGATTGTAATTACAGTTAATCCTACACTTTTATTGAAAAAAATAAAGTTCTATATAACTTCTTTATAATTGAGAAAAACGAATTGTTAGACTCTTATGATAAAAAACTTTTCAAATCACAGATTTCAACAAAATTTTCAACATTGCAATTATGTACTAAAAAGCATGTTAGACGTTTGTTTTTACCAATTAGAAAAACATATATCAAAGCGACATTGACATATTTTAAGCATTTTCTTAGATATGGGGGTGGTCCACATTAGACGCATAGTCCATAGTCTACATCACAAATTGTCCATAAACTCCCAAATAATATGGTTCCAGCCTATCCATTCCTTAATATTCCGAACGGAATAGTTCTTTAAAACATTTCACAACTCATTGCGCATACTATAATCCGGATTGTGAACATTCAAAATTTTCTATAAGTTCTTTTTATTAAAATTGTAGCATGACCCGAAAATAGATTTATAATAATGATCATTAAATATTTTTCTTATCGGTGCAGTGTTTTTGCACGACGCCTTAGTGAAAATTGTTCCCATTATATTTAAAGTTCATATCTCTACCAATGAATAAATTTATTTTTTAATAAAAAATAAAACTTTAAATAGTTTTAGTCTAATAAAAATGACCAATACTGATTGGGATATGTAATCAATTGTGTGGTTATCTCGAGTTTATATTTATATCCATATACTATACAAAATACCAGCTAGCTTTCATTCATTCGCGTCTAGTCTATACGAGCGTTTAAACAATAATACCTTTGATTAATCCCAAAAAATGTTGTTGTAATGATTACAATTCATATGTACATGCTATATAGATAGACACACGTGGAAGCTGGAACATAAAAAGTGATTCAAATTGATTTAAAATCAATTAAAAACTCCGTCATTATTAAATGACGGGTAGCAAGAACATGCCAGTGACGCCGTTGGGAACTGGTGCTCCTGTAGATGTCATGTAAAATGCATATTTCATCTACCAGTCTGGATTTAATCCTCCACATCACGTTTGCCACCAACTGTTTATATCGATGCATGCCCGTATATGTGTGCATATGTAAATATGTAATTCCTATATATGTATGTATGTAGTATGTCAAAGGGTGTAAATGTAATTAGTTTCAATATTTAATTCTAAATATAAATCCCATAACCTTCAACAATATGTAATTTTTTTCAATCCAATTTTGCGAGCTATTATTTCCGTTACAAACACCACGAATAGAATGAAAAAGGCTTTAAAATATGTCTGTATGACTCGAATCAACACGTTGTATTGGAACGGCTTTGCAAGCGTTGAGAAGACATTTAATTTCTGCCAAATATGATGACATGACGATGTGGTGTTCTTTAAAGAGTTGACACATTTATCATCTCGACAAATATACATATATACACTTAATCAACTCCTTCATACAGGACATACTATGGACACTTTAGGTTGATAAGATATGTTGCATCATTTATTTTGCTGTCCAACTACGTAAAGTATCGTTCGTTGTTGTATTTTTAATACATGGATATTTATCAATGTATTCTTCTGCATAAAATAGCAATAAATTCAATTCGCTCGCTGCTTACATAGCTTCATATATCGAAAATATAGTGTTAGCATTCATATTCCCTGTCCGTCGGTAAACGACAGACATCTTTGGCGAAATTCTACTGCCCAAAAGCTACAGCTGTTGGCTGTATACGAACACATAATTAATGATAGCCGCCATTGCCGCACGGGCAGGATAAGCTGATAGTAATTCGTTGATGAACAGCTCTCGGTTCTTCTTTTAACACTTCCTTACAGACACTCATATACATATGTGTATGTTTGTATACACGAGCACGTGATTAAATTTAATATGTATGTTTGTCTCTTTGCAGAATATATCACTACTGATAGTCCTGATATACTCATGGCGAATCAACATCAACATAAACAAGTCCGGAGATTTGGAGGACGTCTACTATGGTAAGTTAATCATTATACCATAAACACCCACATAAACACATCTGTCTATATGTAAACTATTGAAATCTTGCTATACACACAAATGCATACCACTCGATGATTGCCATAGGCTGGCATGGGAAAAAACTGGACTTCCAAAAACACGAAATTTGGCAAAAAATGTTTTTGAAAATATAGCGGATTTACTTGCGTTTTCTGTGTATCATTTCCGCTTCAATAAATGACCTCATACGGATTTTGATCTTTTTCGAAAAGAGAACTTTAAAAACTTCAGCGAAAGAGAGATGTACGCAAAAATCCAAAAATAGATTCTGCTGGCACATCCATGGTTCTTAATGGACCACATTGAAATCGGTATAGATCGATTTATTTTTTTAGGGTGCACACCGAAATTGGATGCGCGTTAATGGCATATGGAGTTTTCGGAAATTATTCGCGTTTTACGATTTTTTGGGTACTTCAATGTAACGTGTGGCACATCTTAGCCGTCAAATGAAATTTCGCAAAATATATATGGATTGGAAGATAATCTTCAGTACTTCCTGGAAACCGCATGCGCATCAAATGATTATGAGAATTACGCGATTTACACGCAATTTAAAATGTATATTTCATAATATTATTTTATTTAAAGATTTATTCCTATTTGTAGAATTCTAAGACTTATCGGAAGGGTCTTGATATAATCCGCAAGGCGTATACTTATACACAAAAAGTGATTATTATTATATAGGTCAATTTTTCGGCGAAAATAGCAGAATAACTCCAACATTTTTGTTCTGAAATTTCTTGTATACAATTAAAAAAAAAATATGATGACATTATTTTTTCGAACCAAAAACAAATATTTTTCCTCAATATCTTGTTTTGTTTTCGCTTTGATTTAGAAACCGCTACACGAACATGTGTGATTATGATATCGTTTGATTCATCATGGTGTTTAGATTATGTAGATATTTTTAAATTAATTTTTATGTGTGTGTATGTCATTAATATATTGAAAATATTGATGTAATCAGCTATATATTTTTTTATTTTTCTCTTATTTCGCGAATATGTGCACCTTTATCGTTATTATTATAATATATTCATATTCTTATTTTACGGATGAAGATATATATCAACGTTTTTGGTCAATATAATAAACGGCGTAATTTTAAGATTTTTTTCTTATGCCCAAAATTAAAACCTCGATAATTTTTGCGCGCATCAACCAAAAATTTGATCGCGAACGGTTTCGGAGTCAGAACATTTTTCTCTATATGTGTAACAAAAATCATTGATGTGCCATAAAAACAAAAAAGCTGATTTTTTGAAAATGGAATATTAAAAAATTGGCAATATTGCCCATATACACTTAATCAACTCCTTCATACAGGACATACTATGGACACTTTAGGTTGATAAGATATGTTGCATCATTTATTTTGCTGTCCAACTACGTAAAGTATCGTTCGTTGTTGTATTTTTAATACATGGATATTTATCAATGTATTCTTCTGCATAAAATAGCAATAAATTCAATTCGCTCGCTGCTTACATAGCTTCATATATCGAAAATATAGTGTTAGCATTCATATTCCCTGTCCGTCGGTAAACGACAGACATCTTTGGCGAAATTCTACTGCCCAAAAGCTACAGCTGTTGGCTGTATACGAACACATAATTAATGATAGCCGCCATTGCCGCACGGGCAGGATAAGCTGATAGTAATTCGTTGATGAACAGCTCTCGGTTCTTCTTTTAACACTTCCTTACAGACACTCATATACATATGTGTATGTTTGTATACACGAGCACGTGATTAAATGCCCAATGTATGTATGTTTGTCTCTTTGCAGAATATATCACTACTGATAGTCCTGATATACTCATGGCGAATCAACATCAACATAAACAAGTCCGGAGATTTGGAGGACGTCTACTATGGTAAGTTAATCATTATACGATAAACACCCACATAAACACATCTGTCTATATGTAAACTATTGAAATCTTGCTATACACACAAATGCATACCACTCGATGATTGCCATAGGCTGGCATGGATTGAAAAATCTCCTTGAGCACCACAAAGTGCGGGTAAACGTATAATTGACAATACTGGGAAATTCAAAAGTGCGTATGCGTGTTGCCTGTATCTCTCTATTGGTATCTCCAATTAATGTGACTATGAAGTGGTTAACGAGATTGGGCAAAGATGGTATTGGCAAAACCTTCGTATGTCCGTCTTCTTGTTTCGCTTTTGTTGAATACACATGATAACCACTGAATGTCCTTCGAATGTCAACAAATATATACACATGAGCTACATTTTGTCTACGCTCGCCTAAGCGTCATCGGCATTGCCTATGCAAATCCACTAAACAATAAAATGTGGCAACAAGCAAATGATGCCGCCGATGATGATCATCATTATTATGATGCCTGAATGCATCAATTCCCTGTTGCAATCGAATGACATGCCAATATTGAGTTGGCATCCATGTCATGAGAGCGTTGCTGACAAAATCGATGTGACCGCAAATATACCAATCATGCTGGTGCACTCTCAATGACACATCTGACATTGGCTGACTTGTAGTTTTTTTGAACTTCGACATATTCACAAGTGGTGTAGAATATATGAGGGTGGTCTGCTGAGGTTTTTTGACAGTACTCCCCAATTCTTGATCTCTGCTCAATAACATTTCTGAGGATGCGACAATTGGATGTGGATAGAATGTGTAATTAGCAAAAACCGCCTTTGTTACGACCATATACAGTGCGGATAATTGAGCCAATAAACATTTTGAATAAACAAGTACATTAAATTGTTTAATCCATATTTGCGCTATTACATCAGTAGAATTTCAGATTAAAGGTCCAACTTGAAACACTAAATATTGGCCGATAATCTTCAAAAAATTCGGAATGTTCGGGATGTGTCACAATTCTGGCATCTAGAGTGACACCAGAAACAAATTAAAATAAAGCTGTTGTTCCATTCGATCTCTTAAATATATATATATATATATATATTAATCACGTATTATTGGAGTCGTTAGAAATTACTTCGAAATGTCAACGGACCATGTACTAGAAGTTCATGAATACACTGTTTCAGTGGGCAAAATTATGAATTTATTCGTCCCCATTTATTAACATCACACCCATACATATATGTATATATATATAGTTACAAGGACACACTTATTTCCACCCATCCTTCATCTTGTATATTTTCAGGTGTTCAAATTGCCTATTTTGCCATAATTGGAACGCAAATGTCAATGATTGTCCTAAGCGTGATGCTACTTTTCGGAATCCTAAAGGTAATTTTACGCAAATTCTATTTCAAAATAACAGATTTTAATCAAGCTCCGTCCACCACCACCACGAAACCAAATTACGGGCAAAAAGTATTAGGGTAGGTATGCTCATCCCATGCCGTGCCAGATTCAATTCCGCGTAGCTTACGTCGTGTCAAGAGTTCGAATGTACGAAATGTGAATGAATGTCGAAGTGAACTAACTACATTGTTTTTGTACTTCATGTTGTTTTGGTAACTTGCCATTTTCCGATAAAATTCCGTCGAGTGTTGCAGATAACAACTGTATTAGAACAACAAAAACAACAAAATGTAAGAATAAAAAACGAAAACACAAAATTGATGAAAAAATATCATCATGAACATGTGTTGACAGTGTTGTTTTATGACACAATACAAGCTCACATTGGCACACTGACACAGACACATACACACGCACGCATAGCGACAACCGGATATGAACTTGGAACAGCGGTGTGTGGGTGAGCAAGGGCAATGTAAGAAGATGTTTTTCGTTCAAAATCTCTATAAAAAATTTGGTTTATTACAAAGGAACGACCAAACGACCGACCGACCGAACAACCGACCCGCAACAGTCGCAGAAACGAGAATTCCCATAAAATAAAATTGTATTTCATTTTGTAGATATTAAAGTATTACTCACACACAAACATACATATAGCCATATAGTATATGCAAGTGTGCATGAATGGATGAACATTTCCGAGTTCTTCTTGTAGCACTTAAAGCATGGTCGGAATGAATATGGTATGCTGCGGTGAATAGGTAGCTGAGCAGCTTCGAAGTACGGGGATATCGGAGAGCGGCTTTCTGACGAACAAACGAAACGACAAATCTACATGGATGTGCTTATGTATTTGCGCTCATGCATACTCATCTCTGGAGAGCTCTTGTGCACTGAACACATACACATATACAGAGCCAACTGTCATCTGCCCGAAACGTATCCCGTAAACAAAGCACACACACACACGCACACGAACTCGTACGGACGCAACATGCTCGAACAATGAGTGTTTAATGGTATCACATTTCGCATTTCTCAATTTGCTGGATTCCATTTTTTGCGAAAGGGTCTGATTGAGGCACATGTACATACAAATGTATATGTGTACATGGATATCATTTTGCTGTTCAATTCATATGTATAAATTAATTCATTTATTTTGTTATTATTCTTTACAACTTGAAAGCCCGCATTAGCGCCAATCAAACGCGTATATAAATGTGGTTCAGCGTATTCATCATTAACGAGATATTTTCCAACTAATCTCCGCCAGCGGAGATACAGATAGGAGCAATCGAAATAATGCGTGAATAATGTGGACCTCAAATCTAAAGGTTTCATTAGAGACGCTTGACATTTTCAAAATAAATGAAATTGCCAAAATGAAACCACAGTTGTATACCAACGATAGGGACACATCAGAAATGACGACTCCAAGTCATGGGCTCATTCAATGTTTCGTTGATGATTGTTTTCGGAGTTCGTTGTTTTGCTAATTATAATAATCATAATAACTCAAGTCAACATTTATAAATATAATCGTTTTCTTTTGCACTGTCTTCCCATCAGGAAAATCCTGGCTTAATAGTTCCATGGATTATTGGCTACATAACTTTTATGGCATTGGAAGCTGTGGCTATGGTGTATTCGAACGTACTGCGGGATCATGTCAATAAGGTAAGTTTTTCATTTATTTCTTTTAGTTTATATTAAACAATCTCTGAAGTAAAATGTAACAAAGATGATGCACTGAGCTGAAAAAGATCGCGGTATGGTCGTCGATTAAAATACACCCGACCATTTAGGAATCCTTTCATTATTGGCAGCAACCATGAATTATCATAAACAAATTCTGTACTCGATCTACAAACTGCACTGGTGTAATCGAACCCTTTCTAAAGAAAGGTGAAGGCAACTCATTTCGAAAATCTGTCCTACAAAACTTTGTTCAGGAATTGATAAACAAAGATCAAAAGCTTGCGTTCTGGTCTACCCAAGGCATTCATTGGTCAATCATTTCAATAAGAATAACCAAATATCCACAAGTGCAATCAGGGTAGACTTTGAATCCACATTTTACAATATATATATATATATGTATACATATCGATTTACATATACATATATACAAAACAAGTCAAGCCAAATTGTCCCATATGTATAGATAAGATTATTTTGTTTGTTTAGGACTGGCGATTGGAAATGGAGAATGTGCAAAGGGACATTTTATAATCTTGTCAATGTATGCTATCGATTGACAAAAAAAAACGGACATGAGGGATTCTTTAAAAACGGAATGAAAATTCTTATAATATGTCGTCGTCGAATGTGGAACTTTGTGACTGAGTTAGACATTGTGATTTCAATAAAATACATGGATCTCGATAGGCAATACCGCCATTCAAAGATTGTGTTTCCACCAACAACGACAACAGCAGTAATAACAATATCAATAGTCGTATTAAGGATGATTTTTGCCTTTTCCACGTATGTCTGAGACCCAGCGATGACAGCCCACTATCGTCCATTACCTTTTTCGTTTGCCATTTTCTTGTTAACGACGTGTGAAGAATGTTCGGACCTCTAGTTGTTTTTCTGGGCACGTTCCTATTTTGTCGCTAGCGTCCGTTATTTGGAATGCTGAACACAAGGCGATAATAAGTCGTCTTGTCTGTAGTTTCCTTTGATGGAGACATCAGCATCAAGAGTTTATCGTTATTCAAATAAAAGTGGGAGTAAATACAATGTGCAAAGGCCCAAGGCTTGCACAGTGTTCACTGATACTGGTCGACGACATAAACAAACATCCAATATGTTTCTCATTATTATGGAGAAGCAATACACATCTGTTATTCGAAGCTATTTGTAGATGCAAAAAAAAAAAATAGAAATTTGTTTGGCCACATTTGTTGCCCTGTTAAATGGCAATGAAGTCAATTATATTGCAGACCTCAATTTTAAAACATTTTGCAGTGAGATCCAGTGAAGGAAACTCATTTCGAACATCTGTCCTACAAAACTTTGTTTCGGAATTGATAAACAATGATAAACGTCAGACGAACTAAGGCACCCAGACAGCCAGCCTGCCAGTTCACCAACAAAAAATGGCATGGGCCGTGCAAAGACAAACAATGGCAACAACAAGTCGAAGACGAGAAGAGCCTGTATTCAAATATTATTGTTAGTTGTTAATTGTGTCGCAGTACGACAGCTGAGGACCAATGTTCCTCTTGTTTTCATTCTAATTTGTTAGTTTTGTTTTTTTTTTTTCAATCTCCTTTGATATCTCTTCGACCTGAGATGCTTATGATAATGATTGGAGAATTTCAAGGGAAATTTGCATTCCACTTTACCACAAAAATAAAAACTTTTGCCTAAACACAAACACTAACAGTTACAGGAACTATGAACCACCAATGATGTCAACATATATGACAGTTGAAGGCAGTATTGGCGATTTGCTTTTTTATTTATTTGTTCTGCTTTGAAGACATCTTCGTTTATGTATGCTTGTCTTCAGTAAATTATAATGGACTGTTGATCCATAGCGAGGCCTATATCAATGGTATCAGACAACAAACGTAACCGGACTATTCAAGGAACGATTTATTTCGCTAATAGCAATTGACATCACAGCACATTGTCAATGGCGAGTGAGTGGAAGGTTTATAACATGAAATTTATCATCCGCCCACTCCAGCCAGCGAGGGAAGCGAGGCAGCTGAACAATGGATTGCCACAGAATCTGTGTTGTAATTGTGACAATACCGCAATTCACTCCCCCGGCTGTAAGGCCGTCTTAGTGAATCTATTTGGCGATTGTATATTAGGGTTAGTGGTTCCCAATTCCCCCTGACAATCAATCGCTATTTCATTGAACTGAAATTCCTGGAAACAGTTCGAGGGGTTCGGTGGGAAATCGTCCATGTGGACTCACTGCAGGTAGGGGTTTACCAGCAAAGAATTCATTATGGTAATGATTTACCTTCATTTATGGCATAGCCTATTGAAAATGCTACTGGAGGGGTCAGAGTTGTCATTGGAGTTGAAAGAAATCCAATTCTAATATCAGGAAGTATGTCGGTATATCAACCATTTAGGTTACGGCGGAACTGAAAGTCATCCGTGTTGCACACTTCGGCAACTTTTAGCTCAACTCTATAGGAACGTAAGTTTGTAGTCAAGCTTGTTGTGGTGCATTTTATTTGAATTTCTCCTTGTTGGAGTGGTGACTGGTTTGATTCAGAGGACGTTGAAAGCAGGATATTCTTTTTGCAGAGAATTGGATAGCCTGCTTGCTGCCACCCAATGTCAGTGTATTTGATGTTCGAGTGTGTGTCTATATGTATATGCTTTTTAAGTTATACAATAATAATAACTTTTCTATATCCTTCTCTTTCCTCCCACTTTTCACCTGACTTTTTCAACCTGTGTCCTACATTTTAGCAATTTGATGCGATGTGCAAAGCGGAAGTGGCTTTTTTTATAGCCCGTGCTTTCATAAACGTAAGTAACAAATAGAAACGAACTGCATGCTTGTTGTTGTTTCCTTTTTATTTTGCTTTCATTGACTTGCCGTCAGTGGTTGCGGCATCTATCCTTGAGTCATTTTACCACCATAAACGCACTTCATCTAAATCATGGGTATGGATAGCCTTCTGGAAAATATTTCGAACGCAGCATACAAGCCAATAGTTGGCGATAGGCAGGGCCAATGCAAGGACACTATCGAAATCAATGCGATTAAATCCCATTAAAAGTTCAATTAAGCACGTAAGTGTTTCGCAGGCCAACGATAGAAAGCTTGTGGTCAGCCAAGGTGTCATGTGACTCGGAGAGACCTGGAAGTATTACAAATTAGATGATACTCAAACTGATTTCTTGAAATCTTACGCTGACCACTGCATAAGAAAGCACTAGCCAACAATTGAACATGACAAACGATCCCAACAAACGACATCTCCTCAACAGGGTTTGCGGAAGGACGTGGTATTTCCGTATACGCCACAATGATAGCGGCTTTCCCCCAGAGAGTGCCAGTGTCACAAATTCAAACAGACTATAAACCTATACATATATGTATATATATATATGTGTGTGTGTATGTGTGTTGGTATATTTGAAACACAACTTGTTGTGGAAATTCAACACTTACCGATCCCAAAATGCTGATGAGAAGCACAAGCCAATAGACTAGAGGGAACCATGGTATTTGGCACCAGACCTCCTCATTGAGATATAAATTTATCGCATTCCAACGGGATTTAGGAGAGAATGTCCATATGGAGTAAAAACCGCATTCTTCGTCCTTGTCGCCTTGTCCACCTATTGCCAAGTCCACACGGTGTCTTAGAAAGTAGCACAAGTTGTGATTGAAATGGGAAATTTTATACATTTATGGAGACCAAAAAATTGATAATTAAGAATGTTGAGACATCGCCTGTTAAGACCCGAAACAAACAAAATCGCACGAACATGGTGCGTTTGATGAGTGTGTTTTGTCAAACATCGCTTTTCATTGCCATCAGTGTAAATGCGTATAAGATTTAATTTTTAGTGCGGACGGACTGATATACGTGGCTAGTAGTTTACACCTGCATTTCGCTTCACACACACACATTTCACAACATGCACTTACTCAGCCTTCATTATAATTATAGCATTCTGTTCTTATAACATATTTTATATCTATCTAAATTTGACTAATTTTGCAAATGCCATACTGTGGCGTATTTTAGGTCCTGTCTATGTGGGGCGTCCTACGATTTTATAATCTAGTTCGCTGTGGAATTACTTGGAAAGGTCCCGAGGTAATTACAATAGCAAATGTGTGACACAATGCAACAAGATGTTCACCCAGACCCATACCGAATGCACAGGTATCAGAATATTGTTGCATTGTGTAATCCACCTAGTGTCCAATTGGCAATCCAGCTTTTGAGGCTGCAGTTTATCTGCAATGAAAATATAATTGTTTTTGGTGGATATTTGGCAGTCCCAAAAAAGTTTCATTATTTTCATTGGGTAAATTGTGACCTTTTGAGCTTAAGGCAATTATCTACGAGGACACACACAGTGATTAAAAGGTAGACCATCATATGATTGATAATAACCGTTATTTTCCGAAACCATATACAGGCTACGACCGCTTTAAGAACGCCAGCAATTGTTGACCGCTCAAGGAGGACTCAGTGCGAATGTTATCAACAGCAGTGCCATTGTCAGCATTACCACCACCAGCACCCCAGGAGACTTCATAGCAACAGCGGAACTCATAAAGCTTCCCGTGGAGGATGCTGTGCCTTCTTCGACCTTGATTACGATTATGACGATTACGACGATGATGAATTGTACGAGTATGAAGACGGCGATGATTATGAATGCGACGAGACCGATGGTGTGGACTACTACGATGAAGAAGGAGAAAGTAGTGACTGTTCTATGTTGGGTGCCTCGCCTAGTCACAAGCGTATCGAGCACAAATACCGGCAGCGCAACAACAATATTCGATCTGTGTTGATTAGCAAACGACACAACAAATACAAAATCTCCCATCCCGAAACACGTCTGGAAGTCATAAACGAGTCTGAGCGTAGTGCCGGCAGTGGAAGTGATGAAATCGATTCGCTACTCGTGGCCTATGATAGCACTTCGTCGTTGGCGTCCGTTTGACATTGGCCCGGTTGCATTGGAGATGCAGGAGGCATGTCTAGTACTGGCCCAAATGGACGAACGGGCGACCAGAAATCAGACGTTGGTGCAAATCAATGTCAGTGCCGACGTCCATACCGACGCTTGTACTGCGGTGTAAATTTTTTGCTTATGGTCATACTTGTTTCAATAGAAATCTACGCCCAGCTTGTCGTTTTTCTTTAAGGCCCCCGGAATGAGATTCGTATTCTCAATAGCAGTCCAATGATACGAGTCACAACTTGTAGTGTGGCCGACATGGCAGTCTTGTCATTTGTACCAGAATATATTTGTATCAGCGACACTCGTACCATCTGGGTTACTGTAAAGAATGAATGCACACGTCCTCCATGATTTGCGTCCCAACCACCATCTGTGGGTGTTTTTTTTTTTTTTTGTTTTCCGTTGACACTATTATCAGATATCAGCTATAAAAATAAAACCAACTCCAATTTGCCCCCAGCAGCGCCTACAGTTGTAAACCTGTTTAAACACACTCTGTCGCTGTTTATTTGGCCCAGAAGGCAGTGAAGCGAAACAATGACCCCTAAAATTATCCAGCGATGATAAAACGCCAACCATGCACTCACATTTATCAGCTGTAATTAATTAAGATTATGTATGTATGTGTATAGTGTATACTTTTAGTACCTGTTTGGAAAGCTTATGGAAGGTGTATGTGCTTGTGGCTGGTTATGGGTACTTAAGTAATGCCACAGATTGTATATGGAAATATGTGTGGCCGTTTGTCCTCCCACCACACACCAAAATATGTTAGCAGAGTGTTTCTATATACAATTTATAATTAATTATAGCCTTTACCGTGGTGATCCCAAACCTCTCTATTCGCATCGTTGCTAATGAATCACTGTGACTTCACTGTGAGTCGGTTGGATATAGATAAGACTATATAGCTAAAACTACCACTTTTGACCTGCAAACTAGTTTTGTTATGTTGCACTTCTAACTGTCTAATATTATAGGCGCTATCATGGTCGCTTCTTGTGGCTTTATTTGACCTTCCGCAGGAATAACTATCCATAACCTTTACGACCTTAAAAACATTTAACGTATTAGGCACACATACGCACACACATCTACAAAGCTATCTTGTACTCACACTTAGACGTAAGCTTATTGTTAACAATAATCCATGTATGAATGTCATATCTTTGGAACTAAAAACTAAAAACAGGTGAAAAACGATTTTCAAGGAACCTTGCCATATCGTCTTATGTGGGACTCGTCTTTAAAGTCCACAGTTATACACACATTAAATCAACGTAGAATGCTGCGCTTCTTGCAGAAAAATAAAAACAACTCTCACAGGTCCTTCCTCTTCTCACCACGGCTGGAAGGATAAACTACCAAATACAACAACACTTCGATATCGATAGGCGATCTATATCTTTATATACATATTTATACATTATTTATGTACATCGCGTGCGCGCATACATACATCCACGAGCTATGCTAGTATATGTGTGTATGTGTTTTTGCATTTGTGTTCATATAATCACTAGAAATGCAATACATATAAATAAACATATGTATGTGTAATGAACAAAAAATTGAAAAAAAAAAAACAAATAAATAAACAAGAACAAAAAACTAAATAAAATCTAGACTAGTTTAAGCTAAGTTTATTAATGCTGTTCCCGCATGATTTGTAAGCAGCTATATCAGCAACACATGAACATAAATACGTACACTAATGAAACAAAACATATAAATCGAATAAACTGAAATTTGATGCCAAAAATAAGACCTCTGTGAACCAGTATTTATATTACTATGATATGAAAGAATTTCAGTGGGTTTTTTTTATAAATATTTTACTATTTTACCGGTTGTAACATATATATCGAAATAACAATGCCCGACCTTAAAAATTATATATATATATATAGTTTTGATCAGAGAAAAATTATATACCAATATAGGCAAGCCCTTGTGTCTGTAGTAATTACAAACAATCCAATTGTGATAGTTCCCAAGGATTTGCATTGAATTGTCGAATCGTCCGAATTATATTTTAGAGTGTAAAGTGAATAAGAGTTTCCGTTCTTTGGAATCAATGTTATACGAAGGTATTGGTACATATATCATTCTGAATACAGATGCGCCTTATACCACTTGCACGCTATGTTTATTGTTGCACGTGTTCATGACGAGCTGGTGATATTATTGACTGATGTGGTGTTCAGATATGTTTGGGTCTCAAGTGCCAGACTCAATCAAAACAAGTATTTACTTCTATGGCAAATAATTAGGGGCTGTGGTTTCAATTTCAGGTAATCAACAATGTGTTTTTCATGAGTAGCAACTTTTGTGATAGACACGTGAATGTTGGGTTGGTCTACAACACCGCTGTGGCTCGATAACAGAAAATGATATCAGTTCACTCGATCAGTTCAAGTATTCGAATTGGGAACAACAACACGAGTTGTTGTATCTATTTTAATTATGTTTGAATGATTTAGCAGTTATGAAGATAATCAATCAATCGATTACCAAAGAGTGCTTCAAGTGCTTCAGTATCGCGAACCAACCTCATATTCCAAACAAACAAATTTCTACCAATGTGGCTCAAATTCGTTCTATAAAGATTGAATTTAAGACAAGTAAGGATGTGTTTGTCTGTTTTGTGTTGCCAAGAGATATATATTTTCAGCCTAGGACCATGTGTGTAAAATTGTAAATCATATGTCGAATTCCACCGTTGATTACTAAAAGTAAAAATCACTGTACAAAAAATGTTGAATTACAGTTTTACAGTCATACAAATGAAAGTAAAAAAGCAAATTCAAAAGTTTGTTTTGTCATTTATTACGTATCTAGCACTTAACAAAATTATGCAAAAAAAAAAAAGAACCAATAAACACTAAGTCTGTGTTTATACATGCGACTTTTGTAAACAACTCTGCTGAGTTCTTAGAAGTGAGAGGCATAAAAAGTGACAAGGGGAAAGAAATTCGAAAGAGAATCGAAGAGAGCAGCAGCAGAGTTGCTTAAAAAAGTTGCATGTATAAACCCAGACTAAGAAAACCGAAAAAACACGGAAATAACTCGTATGTACTCACTTTTGAACGTCTGCATTTTATTAATAATCTGAAAAAAGAAATGCAAAATTACACTTTTTGAAATCGACTTCGGTTTTTTTAGCTCATTTTGTAAGTTTACCAAAAACATTGTGCAGAGTTTTGAACAAAAATCAAATAAGTAATGAAGTGATGTTTAATAATCACTTTTTTCTACCCAGTAAATTGCAAAGGGGCTTGAATTGTGGCAATTAGTGGTCATATGGGTACGAAAACGCTCCTAATCGCTTCTAAGTTATGTGGACTCACGTCTAATGATAAGAGAAAATTTAAATGTACTCGTCAGACGAGTTAGTCGTTGGACTCTGAGAAGGTTTCTTCCAGAGATTGGTTACAGCTGCAGTAAAAACCCGGTTTTATCGGAAAAAGCTGCAAATTCAAGGTAAATTTTTTTAATTTTTTTAAATACTAATCCAAAGGCGCAATGTAAAGCACGGGTGAGGAATCGTTGGCTTTAAGTTCTCTGTTGAGAGCATTGTAGAGTAATATTAATCGGTGATAATAACGCCTATCCTGTAGAAGACGTAATTATGAGAAGGTCCTCACCCCGATCTGAAGGATAATTTGTGGTCAATCGTAAAGAGTACCAATCAGTCCCTAAAATAAAGACGAACTTTGGCAAATATATGAGTACAACAAATATTCGTGTTCTGCAAAAGTGAGTGCATTGGAGTTGATTTTGTTTTCTTAATTTTTATTAGAAATCGAAGAGTTAGCCTTTTAATTTTAATGTGTCTTCTTAAGTACAAAATTCCTAATAAAGTACAACAAACATTTTTGAACTTGCTTTATTACTTCTGCAGTGGTGCCTAATTGTATGTACCGCAGAAATGCGGTCATTGATTACAAAAAAAAAAAAAAACAGAAATTACTGTTATGAACAAACGCAAAAAGAGTCCTAATTTAATGTAGACAATTTTACTTGCGACAATTCTTAGTTTGCAGGTGTGAGAGGTGAATGTCATTGCCATTCCCCCACTCTCCCTCTCTCTCTACCTCTCTGTTGTGCATTTAACTTAACCCTGCAAATCAATAAAACTATGCAGAATTCAATTGTAGTTTAATCTATTGCAATTGCACCAAACGGGATACTTTGAAATGAAAAGACTGAAAGTTCGGCAGACATATAACGATGTAATTGTGGAAATGTCGTCATTATATTTATGGGATTGATTATCATTATATTTAGGGAATTTGTGGAGAAGGTACCAAATGAATATTTGTGAGAAATCTTATTAGTCCGCAATAGACAATAATCAAGTAACGATACAAACAATTCCGCTGCTTACCCCACATAAAGCCCTGAAACAACTCCCCGACAATTGTTAATGCAAAAATTAACACACACACACAAAAGAAACATTTTTGGACTTAACCCGAATTCTATTAAAGAACAAAAAACAACCACAATAGAGGGAAAAAATGTAACAATTCCGTGAATTCTATTTAAACATCGCAGCAAGCAAAATGTTACGTGACACGCTTTCATTTGAATATTTCTTAACTTTTTCTCTTGCGTTGCGGCAACTTTTCATCGTTGGCTCTCAACGGACAAGGGAAATAAAAAAAACACCATAAAACTTACGCTTTTGTGTTTACACTCGGCTGGATATGCCAACCAACCGGCCAACCGAACGAACCAGAACCGGAAAGAGAACAAATAAAAATAATAACAAATATTAAAAGAAGAAAATAAACAAAGGGTTATGTAATGGTTCGTGGTCCTAACAGAAGCCCAAATTACATGGCCAGAACCAACGAACGACAATAAAATGTAACTGTTTTCTTTTCTGCATAAGTCACCCATTGCCCTTGAGAATGCGTTTCCACAATTATATAGAATCAAATTTTGAAGCGTTATTTCGATTTGAACTAGGCCAACACAGTCTGCCGAACATCTTGTGAAAAACAAGTGTACAAAAACACATAACGCAATCATTGTTCGCCGACTTAGAAATTACAGAGATTTCTAATACAACAGAGCTTGAAAGTATTCCGGCTGTAACAAACAATACAATACAATTTTCTCGTTTCCATCAGAACTCTTATCAATGGAAAAAGCACAAAGGTAATGTGATCATGTTAACTTTGCAAGTTTGGAGGGTTTTTGCATATGCTCCTTTTAATGCTCTGCCCGATTAGCGGTAGTGTGAAGGACCCAGCTATATTTCAGACTGTATGGCCAAATGGATTACTGTAGTTTGATTTCCACCTTTGTCATGAAATGATTTGCTACTCTTGTTTCCGATTTACAACTCTAGATGTTGATATGGGGTTGCAGAGTCGATGAAAAAGAAAAATACCACGTCACTTTTAATAGTTGAAATATTTATTTGTCGTTAAAATAACTTGTGTACTGGGGCGGCTTAGACAAGCAGACCGCCTGGGGCGCTGAGAGCTGGCAAATGTTTAACAGTCCGCATGAAATCGGCAACTTCACAGGCATAGGAGTAACCAGCGGTGATGTCTGTCTTCTTCCAGCTAATGTAGTTGACCTTGTCACTGACGTCGTTGCATATGATGTAGTCCCTCTTGATTTCTTCCAAACTCAAGTGAGGATTGTTGACGCCAACGAAGACGATGCCCTTCCGGGTGGAGGGCTCAATAACCACACGGAAGTACAGCTTAGGTACGGGGATAAGACCGTTGTGGTTGGAGTCATAGGCCAAATACAATGGGGTCTGCACACCGTGTTTGTTGGGCAGGGTGGTGACACCATAGACACCGGTATAGCAGTCTACGTTCTTGGAGTTTTTGCTCACCTAAACGAAATAAAAGCAATTGACAATTAGATACAACTCAGTCAGCAGCGTACAAAGTTTGGAAACACTAACCCAAGCACGAACACCATCTTCTACACGAGCCCAGTTGCCAGCATTAAAAACTTGCCATTGGGGAGCAGCATTGATGAACAAGAAAGTGGCACGTTGTTGGGTACCGTACATAAAGTCAGCCTTGGCGCCCATATGACCGCGGGCCAAGAAAATGTTCTTAGAGGTGTCGAAATATTTCTGAGCATCGCCTCCTAATTCGGAGTTGATAGTTTCGATTTGAGTGGATTGGGTGTAGAGCTTGTCGACATTCTTTCCATTGAAAAAGCCAGCTGTTTGGAAGGTGATACGATCAACACCGGTCTGGTAGTAGTTGCTGCCTGGTCCCAACTTATGGCGTACATAACGGGTGACTTCTTCTTGTTCGTTGTAGCAAATTTCCATTTGTTCAGCAAAACGGCTGGAGGAAACCTCAAAGCCAACGCCGACCAAAATGCCGCCATTGCAGGAACTTCCCTTCTTCTTGGCAACAAAGCCAGGCCATGATTTGCAAACCAATTCGGAGAAAGCATAACTAGTGCCGTCAACCTTGAAGGTGGTACCGCCCACACAGGTGGCAGTAATTAGTTTGGTGGCCTTGACTTTGAATTCCCCAGGGCAGAACATTTGCAGGGTGCGGCCAGCATCTACATGCATGACACCAGTGGCAGAGTAGGGGTAAAATTCTGTGGAGTCAGTCTTCAAGAAGACAGGTTGGGGATCCTTCAAGCCGCCACGAATATCAATGCTGCATTCTAAAAGCAGGACACAGTTTATCTAGTTGTAACACAACAGAGTTGGCCTGAACGGCACGGACACTACATACCATTGGCTCGGCCCTCAGGAAGAACATCGACAACAAGGTTACGTTCGAAGATTTCGTCTTCCACAACCGGGGGAGCTGCTGGCAGGTCGTCGGAGATCTTCAGGTTTTCCATAAGATCGGTGGGAACACCCACAACGCCGGCCAAACTGACATGGGCCAGACAGGCGAATGCTGCCAACAGCAGTAATAAATTTACACCGAATTTCATTGCGGGTACTTGACTTGTGACACACCTATTCGCACTGCCAGCGCCTTAAATACCAATTTCTCGTCTTATCAGTGCGAATAGTTAGATAACACGCCTCCAGTCCACCACTAGGCCTTTTGTCCGAATTCTAATATTTTGCATTTAATCGGACAGTCCTATTGTCGTGTCTTATCATTGCGATTGTTTTTCTTTGCCCACTTGGCAATCCGTTATCTACACAATCAGCGTTGGTTCTCTATTTTTGGGGTTAATTGAAGTGTCTGCGTCGAACGTCAATTTAATATTCTTCGCCGTTCTATTTTCATTCCTCGTCCATCCGATTTTATCGCATGGAATATATCAATAGTTTGAGTGAGTCGACCGTACATTCGCGACGTTGTTGAAGTTCGTCGAAGATAGAAGTTGGTGGTCTTCGCCAACAAGCAGCAGATCGCATGTAAATGAAATCAAACATCTGCGGAGTTACTCACGACGGTAGATGGCGCGTTACACAATTACTCATTTAAGACGCTGTGGATGTGGATGCTGACACGGCAGGTGATAATTGAAGTAAGTGAAACGAACCGAAACCAAACGAGAGAAACGAAACGTAACCCAATAATGCCGTCAAAGGTAATAAATGAATGTAAGCGAATGTCTCTCTCCTCGAAATCGGCATGGCACAGACACGCGTACCTGCCAAAAACGATACCTTCTCCTTCCTCCTGGAATGGAATTGCATTGCTCGACAGATCACGTGCGGCCAATCGAGAGGAATTTTACCCTCATTTGCTTTTAGCATTACCGCCTGTACCTGCTCTCCATGCACAAATGGAACAACATAGAGGACCAGATAGAGAGACGATCTGAACGTGGGAGACTGTCTTAAAATTCGGCCGACCAGTGTATTAATTGTATTAGAATTCCTTAAAGCTCATCCTCAAATCTTTCCCTTGGGCTAGAACTCCTCATTCAACCCCACAAATTTAATAGCAACTAATTACAAAAGACAAAAACGAAAGCAAAGCAAAACCAACAACAGGAACAAGAACAAGAGCACTCATCCTCCAACACAACAGAAGCTGTCAATGTTATGTAATTAGTATTATCTATGGACAAATTCCGAATTAAAGTTCTAGAAGAAAAAATCAAGTGTAAAAAAGCGAATGTGCTGCACAGCGAGGCAAGAACAATTAGTGAAGTAAAGGTAACGGTGAATTGGCACTTGGCCATCGCCAACAGATGGGCGAGTGGGTGCTGGTCACATCCTCTGAGTTTGCTTAATTTGTTGTAATTGATGACTTGTGTAGAAGTTTGCCTTAACGACGCAACAGATTTTCAAGCAATCTTCACATAAGCACGGACGCAGAGCCCAACGGCGAACGACAACCGTCGGCAGACAGCTACCCCTGCAATGGCGTGGAACAAAGAAATCAACAAGAAAAAGTCGTGCAAATGCCAGAGTAAAAGTGGCCCGGCCCAGGACAACATATTCCATGTTGGCATGGGAATAGGGACATGGACTGATGACGACATAACAACCATTTCATTTAGTTAATGTTTGGAGAAAAAAAAAACAACAGCAATAAAAACCTACCCTCGGATAAAATGATTAATGACACTTTTAAAGGTCCGTTAAGTACTTGGCATTTGGTGTGTCTAATGAAAAGGGTTGAGCAAAATGAAATAAAAAAACACACACACACACACTCAAATTAAATCAACTGTGATATGAAAGCACCGCCATCATGTTTACAAAACTCACTCCTTCGTATACACCTCGGATACGCGGCGGTAATATGATGAATGGATTAATGGGCGGCTGGTGGTTTACATGTTGATCCGAATCAATTACACAACTTTCCAAATTGGGTTTCATGTGTGTTGCAGCAATTGTTGATGTTTTTTTTTTCTTGTTTGCGAAGAGCCTCGAGATGGGCGAGCACTGAGTCAAGTTTTCTATCTACCGTGTGGTGTAAGTAGTGCAGTCCGGGTAGCTACTGAGAGCTGGTGTGTGTAAAACCAAAGTATATCGTCGCTCCTTTATACACAAATAATTGAATCCTTTTGTCGAAATCCTATCTAAGATCCTGTCTACATCGATACATTTGACAAAGATACATCTCTCGTAACAGTTTTGTTAAGAAATCGCACAAACACACCCACAGCCGCTCAGTGGTAGGTCGCCCATGCCTCTTCAATAAGTAAATCCGAGCAAATCCTTCTCGTTCGAAGTGAGGGCGATGTAGGTTTTATTTGCTTGTAGTGCGACACAGAAACTCTCTCTTACACACACACACGTATTTCTAAAGAACTACACTTTTCTGTTTACTTTTTAACTTTTGCACACATCCACATGGGTTTTCCATTTAAATCTTTTGTGACGATAAGTCCTAACATGTTTAAATGTATTAGGGTCTTTGAGGATATTTGCGAGCTCTCAAACAACATTCGAATATGGGCTCCTCTGAATCTTTTTGTAAAGTCGTAAAACGTAAAACAAACCTTTCCATAGTAACGATAGACGATAATTTGTTAAGCCATGCAACATTTGCCATATTTTCCGGCTCGACTGTGAGCCATTTTCTGCTCCACGGAGTGGGAAAATAACCCCATTTTCAAATGGAAGGTTAATGTCCTTGAGACATAAATAGACCACTAGCTGGTCCGCTAGGGTGGCATCGACGTCGGTATCGGTATCGTAGTTCCCAATACCATTTGTTCATTCAACAAGCAATGGTCCAGTGATAGCTATGCCGCAACTCCCATTCTGTAGTACCAGCCGAAGTCCTCCCTTCTTATCGCTATCTTAGATACAAATCGAAAATCAACTGGAAAAGGAAAGGATCCCTTTTCACTTAACAAGATGCATGTATAATGAAGTAAATCGACATTTATGTATGAGCCTTACTCAAACTCAACCACTGCACAACTGACACACACGAAGCGCCACCACATGCTACGGTTGTGGGGGGAAAACAACAACCAAATGTTTTATGAAGACTTTTATGTATCATTGATTTTCTATCCGAAAGGTTAAACACTCAAGCGTAACGAGAAAAGCTTACGTTGCACAAAGAAAAAACACTTGCACACACAAACGCACACACATACACACACAAATACCAAAACAGTTCCAGCCCCCACCAACCCAACACTGACTGACAATAACAATAACAATAGCATAATAAGGATCTAAATTGCAAAAATAGATTCCATGTCGACTAGATGTTACGTGTAGGACAGCCATACTCATAGGAGTTGGATCTGCGAAAACTTGAAGGAGCTCTAACGAGCACTGTCATCAGCGTGGCGCATTAACACACATATGTACATGTGAAAGACTAACTGTCTGACAGACTGACAGGAAAAGTCGACACTTGTCGAAATTTAATTCCCCCTACTCCTCAGCAATGCAAATCACTTGACTCCCTTTACAACTCAACAGAGCTCAACAACGGCACGAATACGAATAGTCGTACATCCATCCCATGCCCTCTTCGGCAGGGACTATCATGAATGTATGCCACACCATCTCTATCACATTGCCACCTAATGATTTCTATCACACTTCATTATTTCCCGGATTAAAATTGCTCTCCAAGTTTCAATAATCATAACAATATTAGTGAATGATTTGAATTCCAAAGTCGCTTAACTGGCTGTAATGAGCGAACGTATGAATGTTGGCAAATAGACGGAGAACGGTCGCCAGGGGAAGGACGATTCCGCATGGCAGAAAAGTGAAAGTCAAATCACACAGGCGTGGATCAATGCTTAACGTACAGCTGTATGTGTGCACAATTACGTATGTATGTGTAATACATGTGGTGCTCGGTGAGCTCGTCCTTTAAATCTGGTAATCCAATTCTATTTCACATCATGCGAAATGATTTCACCAACATTACTGTCAGCTTTCATAAGCGTTTAACAATTAGTGTCGACATACACGCTGACTGGCACCGCCACACATAACGACGTCGACATACAGATGCCTTCATACGACACTACATATATGACGAGGGGATGGGGGTAATGTAAACACTTATAATCTTATTAAATATGCCCCCCAGTACGGTATAGAGTATTATGGATGTCATCGTTGACGATTACTGTGTTCAGTTAACTGACTACCAATGACCGACCCACTGGAGCGAAATCGAATGCTACAAATTATTTACAAATGCAGTCAAATTACATTTCCAACAACCAATGGACGCCATATTAGAAAATAAAAAAACCTCCGCTTTGGCTGTTGGATTAGAATAAAACACTGCTTGTCGCAATTAAACCACGTATTAAAAAAAAACTACACAATATCGATGGGACCGATTTAAACCATCAGACATGTTTACGTGCCATATGTTCGGTTGTATAACTATGTACGTATGTATTTGTTGCAATCAATTCTGTACAATGTATGTAACTCACATTGTGAGGAACTACACAATTACCATTTCATACACACACCTAAGAGATTTGGATTTTTTCTACTCTAATTATATGTACATATTTCAGGCAGATGACGAACAAATGGTCTTAGTAAACATTCCAACAATATTTGGTACTAAGAACGTTCTATCCTCACAATAGTAAATATTCAGGACCATTAAACACCGTGGTTGGCGTGTTATTGGATAATACATGTGAAAGCGTTGCTGATTCCACAGCCAATGTGAATTATAACAT